AATTGGGGGTCACTCAGGGGTGCAAGCCACTTATTTGAGATTGAAGCGTTATTTTTGGTGGCCTGGTCTTAAGTTGCAGGTTAAGGAGTTTGTGCGAGTGTGTGATGTGTGACAAAGATGCAAGACTGAGAATGTCCCCTATCTTGGCCTGCTGCAGCCTTTGCCAATTCCAGAGAGGGCCTGGCAGCATGTTTCAATGGATTTTATTGATGGATTGCCTAAGTCTGCAGGGAAGGAAGTAGTGTTTGTGGTGGTTGATAGGTTTTCAAAGTATGGACACTTCTTCAGTCTGACCAGACCATACACAGCTAGCAGTGTAGCAGAAGTCTTCTTCGAGGGGATCTTTAAGATTCATGGGATGCCTCAGACTATAGTGTCAGATCGAGATGCTATGTTTACAAGTTCTTTCTGGACCAAGTTGTTCGAGTTGCAGGGAGTGGATCTTCATTTCTCGACAGCTTATCACCCCCAAACAGATGGTCAAACTGAGAGGCTCGACCGTTGCTTGGAGGATTACTTGAGGAGCATGGTGCACCATTCCCCACAGCGCTGGAGTGCTTGGCTTCTGCTTGCTGAATGGTGGTACAACACCAACTACCACAGTAGCCTACAGTTGACTCCATTTGAGGTGCTCTATGGCTATCCTCCCTCTCATTTCAAAGTCAGGAATCCACTTTCCACTTCTGTAGCAGCAGTTGCAGATAAGCTACAACAACAGCAGAGTTTGATCAAGGTCATTAGAGAGAACCTTGCTATGGCACAGAACAGGCAGAAGCAGATGGCGGATCGTCATCTTACTGAGTGAGTCTTTGCAGAAGGCGACATGGTGTACTTGAGGCTGAGACCTTATAGACAGATGACAGTGGCCACGAGGACTACACAAAAGTTGGCTGCCAAATACTATGGACCCTTTCTCATCCTTAAGAAGATTGGTGTCGTGGCTTATCGACTGCAGCTACCCCCAAGTTCTTCTATTCATCCTGTATTCCATGTTTCCCTTCTTAAGAAGGCTGCAGAAGCACAGGTTATCGTCCAACTAGCCTTGCCAGACTATGATAATCAGGGAAGATTGAAGGTGGAGCCCATGGAGATTCTGGCCAGGAAAGTGGTGGCTCGAGACAACAAGGCTGCTACACAAGTTCTCGTTCAGTGGACACATCAAGATGTTGCAGATGCTACTTGGGAGTTCCTGGATGAGTTCAAGCTCAAGTATCCCGAGTTCCAGACTTGAGGACAAGTCTTCAGCGAAGGAAGGAGAGTTGTAACAGATGAGATTAAATTGTAAATAAATAAAAGAATGAGGATGAGAGTGAGAAGTGGGAGTGTTGGTGTAATATGGAAAAACGGATCGTATAAGTAGAGCTGGGCCCACTGGTTCAGTTAACGTTGGAAATAATACAATATTCTCTCCTCTTTCCTATCTCTCTCTTCTTTCTCTCTCTCTCTCTCTTACTTTACCAATTAGTTGCGTAACAACCTTTCCCTCCAGTCCAACGTCTCCAAACGATCCACTGGACAGAAGGTCGCCATTGCTATCTCGTTGAGTTCTCGAGACTCTCCACCCCAGCTGTGACAGTTTCCTTCGACTATACTATCCCTGCAGGCTGCAGCCTAATCGACGCCCCCTATTTCTTGATTTCTAGCTTTTGGCAGTGTTTTACTGTTTCCTTGTTATCATGAAGATAAATAATATTTCTTTGACATGTTGGTCCTAAATCCTAATAATACATTGCATCGGAATTACCGTTAATGGGAATGATTAGGGTTTACCTTATGTTTTATCAATTACCGAATCGGAGGCTTCAAAGATGGAGTTCGATTGCGGTAGTTTAGATAATTAGGCTGGCAAACGAGTTATCGTAAAAGTTAACAAAATAACTAGAAGGCAAACACGGCAGGATGCACTCAGGGCAAGCATCCCTACCATATTGATTGGTCGGACCAGAAATATCGGAGACTGGGGTCAAATGATATGTGGTTTTCGAGGTAGGAAATAGTAATCACGATTTTAATACAAAATATACGATTACTGTCTTTTCCGATATAACCTTCAATACAATTTCACAATTCTTGCAGGGTTATTGCAACACTTGAGAGCACCCCAGACATGTGGATATTAAATGGATTTTCTAACCTTATTTTAGTGTCTATATATATACGTTTGCGTATAAATTATTTGTAATTTGATAATTCTGACGAATTAAAATCGTTGTTTTTCATTTTAAAATTAAATGAATCTTATGGTTTGGGTTAGAGAATTGGGGACTTGGGTTCTCTCATTAAAGGTTAGGGTGTAATATCATGCTCCAACTCCGGTTAATTCATGGTCCAAATAACAAACTTGACGGGCGTAAGCTAGCCTGAACCATATAATATATAAAGTATTGTCTTCGGTGCACTCACTTTTTTTGGTGCATTCAATGCACTCGCCTCATAATTGTCATTCCGAGCATGTGATTCATCTCAAATGGTATCGATTGTCAGTTGTGATATGATGAATAACAAACACATGAATTTGAGAGAAAAAAATCATTCAAGATTTACTTCAATTTGAAGGATTAAGGGTTTAGGGATTTAAGGTTAGTGTTATGGTTTATAATTTGGGGTTTTGGGTTTGTGTTCAAAATTGAAGGTTTATGGGTTATAAGGTAATTGATTGATTAGTTGTGAACGTATGTTATATTATCATGTCAGACTAATGCTACCAATTAAAATCCAAAATAGATGTCTTAAGGTTACTTTTAGAGTTGGGTGCTTTGTATGCACTCATTTTTATGGGTCCACCGAAGCAGTCATCACCATATATATATATATATATATATATATATATGGCAAAGGCTGGCGTAAGTCAGTCGTACGCTGTACGCCTGTGTTCACACTTGGTTTTTACACTTCAATATATTTCGTCGAATCAGAACCATCGGTTATTATTTTTTAGATTAAATGAATCTTGTGGCTTGGGTTACAGAATTGGGGACTGGGGTTCACCCATTAGAGGTTAGGGTATAGTATCATGTTCAAAATTTCGGTTAATTCCTGCTCTAAATAGTAAAACTCGACGGGCGTACAATGTACGACTGACGTACGCTAGCCTGAACCATATATATATATATAGTTCTATCGTACGTACCTTGAGTAAAATCAAATGTATAATTAAGTAAGAAAATTTATATCTAGACATTGAATTTATCGGAGTTTGGGACATGCTACATTTTGGGTTAGAGAATTGAGGACTGTGGTTCACTCATTAGAGGTTAGGATATAGTATTATGCCCCCAACTCCTATATATATATATGAGTGAACTCCAGTCTCTAATTATCTAATCCAAACCACCATAATATTCATTCCATCTTGAAATGAAAATCAACTGTTCTAATTTTGAAATTATCAAAGTACAAATAATAGTTGTGAATACAGGTGCATAGCGTATGCTAGACGTACACTAACCTCATCGTACGACCGTTGCTTTTTTTTTATTTAGACCATGAATTAAGCAAAGTTTGGGGGATGATACTATACCCTAGCTTCAAATGAGTGAACCCCAGTCCCCAAATTCTCTAACCCAAACCATAAGATTCATTTAATCTATGGGAGTTGACTGCCAGGTCAGACAAAGTTAACATAGTTGTTCGGAGAATGACCAAACTTGAAACATTTAACTAATCTTAGTGACCATGAATGTAATTAAATAATTTTACTGACTAAATATGAAGCTTTCTAGTAATCACGGTGATCAATCGTGCAATTTACCCAATTGGAAGCACTCAAGTTTCCCTCCTCTTTCTCTTCCATAAAATTGAAAGAACCAAATGTCTCTCTTCTTTCCCTCAACAAAAAGTTGAAAACACAAAATTTTCTTCCTTATTTCTCTTTCCATAAATCAAAAGACCAACTTTTCCACTTCTTTCTCTTCTCACAAATAAAAGCACAAAAAGTTCTCCTTCATTCTTTTCTCAAAAATTGAAAGCACCAAATTTTTCTTTTCTATTTCTTTCCAAAAAGTTTAAAACACCAAATATACTCTCCTTTCAAAATCATCAAATTACCAAACATATTACTTTACATTATTTATATATAATTGATTAGTTTATTGAATAGTTGAATTAACCAACGTTTTAATTTATATATAATTTATTAATATTGTCCATTGTCTCAATTATTAATTATTCATTATCAATATTGACTTGTGCCGATCTTATATTTTGTGTCAAGGGAGGATATGTTAGAAACCGAGTCCTCTCAGGTTTTTATAATTATTATACTTATTATTAGGATTTTCAGTCAATATACGTCGGAAGATATCAAGGAAAATTATAGCAAAGTGTATCTCTAAACCCTATTCTCCCAAACTCTCAATTTCTCGTCTCTCCCTATTTAGGCCGATGACCATTCTTCTCTATTCTTCCTATCCCAATTGTCAATCTCAATCTCCTTTTATATTCTAAATCCCTAATTATCTATCAATTGCCAATCCCGCAACCCTTATAAGCCCTAGAACAGGGTTTCTAGCACCATCAAAACATCAAAAGCAAAAGAGAGATCAAAAGAGAGATAGAAGCTGCTGTTGGGGAAGATTAATGGGTTGAATTGTGTTGTCTTTTATTTAAATATGATTATAGTTTTTTTAAATATTATGTTAAAAAATGGTTATTTAGATACAAATTCAGAAATTTTGTTAAAACGGACACAAATTGGTTAAACCACGATAGAAAGCTTTCACTTGCATAACCGACGTACAAGCATAAACTAGTTTGACAACTAGATGTTTCCATCACCATTTTGCAACCATGTTTCCTAGTCAGCCCTTTCACATTCATAAATCAATTAAGTCCCAACTCCCCTGGTAAATACAAGGAAGGTGGAAGGTCTTTTTTTTCTGCAGGGGAATAAACCAATGATAGCAAGGGGTTCCGCATCCAAATTGAATGGGGGAGGGCTTCAATAAGTGGTGCATTAATTTTGACTTTATAAATGAAAGAGAGCAGCCTCAACCAGTGGTACTGAATCGCCTTGCCTTGCGAGTAGAAGGAGATGGCGATGAAGAGCAAATACCAGAAGATGACGATAGAGCTGAAGCTGGTGGTGGACAAACAGAGAAACAAGGTGATATTCGCGGAGGCTCAAAAGGATTTCGTGGACTTGCTAGTCTACATCCTCTCCCTCCCTTTGAGCGCTGTGGTGAAGTACCTGGAACCCAAAGGCCCAACCAGCCTCGGGAAGCTTCACAACAGCCTCCTGTCGATCATGAAGGCAGGCTACATCAATCCTCCACCCAAAGACAATTCAATTGAACCTAAGTTGTCGACCTATGTCCCCGTTTTGCGTCAGCTGAGTTCGAGTCCTAAATGGGTTCGCAATCCCGTGTTGAACATGGAGCAGGCGAGCTACGTGAAGCCAATGGTGCCCTACATGGTCGCCGACGATCTTTCGGTTTCCCCTTTGGATTACCATTCGGTTTCTGTTGTTCTCAAGGGCTACGGCGAGGTGGTGGAGAAGGTCGTTGAATTCGGAACTTCTCAGGTTTAGTTTTTCAGTTTCTTACGTGGGTACGGTTGTCTGTTCATTATCTCGCTTGAACTTTGGAGTTTATGGGTTTGTAGTTTTCATTTGTTGCATCAGGTTCTGGATTTGTTGCAGGCAACCTTGTACTCCGAGACACCTCTCACTAGCGTGTTCCTCAAGGCCAACTGATCAATGGAGTTCTTTTCATCAGCAGCTAGCATGTTCTATTTTCCCGAGTATTTAGTTTACTACTACTTCTGATTCCTTGTTACTCATGCATGAAGAGACATCCCTCAGAAATATCTTTGTGTTGGATTACAATTGGTGAATTACATTTAATTGTCCAAACTAAACCTAGAGGCTCTATTCAGAAGAGGCCTCTATATATTCATTGTCCAAACTAAACAAACATACTTGGAACGAATTACAGTTGGTGAATTTTATTTAATGACATGTACTTTTTCTTGTTTCAATTCTGGTTTGTAATTTTTATAAATACATTATTGGATAGAAATTTGGGGTATAAAAATCACATATCTATCCTTGTTCGGAACTATATATCAACCTGCATGTTTTCTTTTTCAAGCTTGATTGAGATTCTCAAACACCCATGTACTAGTAGCGAGATAAGAGAATTGGAAAATGAACATATTATCACCAAAACCCAGACACATAAAACTTGTCATATCGTCCCCAAAACCGGTGTGCCCATTATCGCAGCTAGGAATGATAATAGGGCGAGTTCAGAGCGCGTATCTTGATACTCGTACCAGTTTTTTGGCAAGTTGGGTTCAGATTGGTTAATTTCTCATGTGGCGCGGGTCGGGACAGGTCGACCAATCTATGAATCCAATCCACCATAGCATAAAAGTATAAATTTTGTTTGTACCTTACAAGATGTTGTATCACTCAACTGTAGGAGAAGATTCGATCATTTTATATTTGCTCATTACGTAAAACGTTATAAATAATAAAAGAGAGACGATTCTAAAATATTGCAAGAGAGATTTTCTACCTGTTTTACATGTGGGTATGAGTATGGGTAAAACCCGAACTACTATTGGTAGGGTAACGGATATGCATTATCCACGCCTGACCCGACCCATTGCCATCCCTAAACCCAAACTAAAAAATTGGGTATGGAGTTATTGCCCAAAAATAAAATTACCCAAACTTCATTTCACCGAAAATACGTTGGGTTTGGATAATACCCGAAGTTTGAAACCCAATTCTCATCCTATCCCTAGTAGTTAAGCTGATCAACCTTATTACCTTAATGATCTACTTTGCAAAAATTCCAAGATTTTGAACAGCCTGAGACGTCGCAACCGGCGCAACCTTGATTATGTAAACAAAATGAACTTCTTAAGATTTAAGATCCCTCTTTCCATATCATTATGAAACCCTCAAGGTGGTTGTCAACCCGCGGGTTGACCCGGACCCGGTTGAACTAGTGGGTCAAGGGTTAATGGGTCACCCGTTTTAGCCCGATTTAGCTCGGAATTATGGAAAGCGTCATTATATTGTACTTATTTTGATAAATTATATCAAATCTCATCTAACATATGAGTTATAACAAATAATATTACACCAAAATAATATTTCGTACTTAGATTCAACATATAGCGAAAATTCACACACACTTATATAACATTAGTATTCAAATGTTCAATTTATGATTTCGAAGTTTGAGTTAGGCAAAAAGAAAAATCGGAAAATAGGCGCATTTCGCAAAACAAAGAAAAAATGACACAATTTGACCTCCAACCCGGTATCTTGTGGTGGTCGACCCGACGGGTGCGTGCGGCCCGTTTTTCTCACCGGGTCAGAGTCAAAGTGGGTCAACCCGCAGGTCGACCCGCGGGTTGACAACCTTGGAAACCCTACATTCATCAATCAAGTCCAGCTCCCTACCCGAGATATGTAAAACGAGATGGAACGGTTATTGGTAGGGTTTTGCGTGCTATATATAATTGTAAGTTTGGTATTAGTCCGGGGTATATCATCAAAGGTTCATCCGATACCAACGTTATCTTCGTTTTCTCGCTTGTGAGTGACTCACGGTTCTATGATGAGGTTGAAGCTGATGGTGGACAGGAAGAGAAACAAAGTTGTCTTTGCAGAGGCCATGAAAGATTTCGTGGACTTGCTAATCTACCTCCTCTCTCTCCCACTGACCGCCGTGGTCAAGTACTTAACATCCGCCGGCACCACCACCGTAGCGCCGCCGCCAAGCAGCCTCGCGAACCTCCAAAGGAGCATCGAATCAATCATGAAAGCAGGCTAGGCACAATCTCATTGCTCGAGGGTGATCATTTTTGAAAATTTCCTCAAGGGTTTGCTGCTTTTGAATTCTATTTGTTTTCTCCTCCAACTCTTACCTTTGTTTCTTGGTGGGTTATGCCTTATGAGTTACTTATGATCATTATTGCTTTGCTCCAGTTCTTTTTGGGTATTCGTTGTTCTTGTATTGTTTGTTTCCTTGTTTCTCTCCTTTCTTAATAAAATGCAACATCACATTAATATAAAATTATGATTTGGGTTTTACCAAAATAATTTTATCTTAAATGTGAAATAAGATAAATCAGAATTGAAATGAACCGAACTAAAAAATCATACTAGATATGCATTTCATCCAATCCTATCCCAATTTAATCAAATTCTGAACTGAATCCAGATGTCCATACCTTGCTAGTAGTTATGCATGTCAAAAAAAATTATATTCTATCTCAATATTTACATTTATTAAATATATCATTTACAGAACTACGGAGCAACAATTAAGCTTTGAAAATTTTGTCCTAACATGGTGTTATTAATTTTGGTACCATCAAATGTTGCAATGAACCTTGGGGTGTTGTCAGTGCCACTATCATCTTCTACAAAAACAAAATTATATCAAGTAAGAGATGATCATTGACGCTTCTATAATATATTTAAAACAAATTCATGGGTTGACACTTAAATGAAGACAAAACATTATAACCAATTAGGCTACATTTTTTTCTATATAGGCAACACTTTGTTTGTAATCATAAATGTTACTATTAGTTGCATTTTTTTTGTTAGTCATTTGGTATTTCTCATGTTTCAATGCGTACAAAGCATATAAAGAGTAGTGCTTATAAAAAAAGCATATAAAGAGTAGTTTGAGTATTGTGTAGATAATTTATGGCAAAATACAAAGCAAGACACGCATTATTAGTGTGAATGACACATACAAATTATATAATCATCAAACTCTCTCGGTCAATAAGCCGGGCATTGTGCTATTATAATATAGAGTGTAGATCCCATGACAAAAAGGATGTTGAATCATGAGTTGGAGTGGACATCGAGTTTGGTGAACTCGAACCAATAATTGGAAGAAGTCGGTTGAGTATTAGTCAAATGTTGGTATTCCATATATACGGTTTGGATCAAACAAAACCCAACCATCGAAATGCGAATGCCCCAAAACAGTCCACAACAAACTTCAACTCCACACTCCCAAAGAGCCCAACCCACTCTCTCTGACGCACAAGGCCCATTTCTTCCCTCGCTAAGGCTACCCTCTTTCGGTCTTGGGCTGGTTCTAATGCTTAAGCCCAAAAGCTTAAGCACGTGCCTAAACTCCTCATATTGGTTGTCAATGGATTTTGAGTTTTTAGTTAATAAGTGGGTGGGGTATTGAGGTAAATTGCATATTTAACTGTTTTGATATATATCAAACTCAATAAGTCGGGTTGGGGTGATATATATCAAACTCAATGGATCGGGGTGGGTTTTGCTAAAATCAAACTCAAACCCATGAGTTTATCCGCCAAAAACATCTGGGGTAAAACCCGTTGGGTTTGAAAAACTCAACCCAACCCAACCCGCTGGGTACCCGTGGATTTTTGTGTAAAAAATTACAATAACAAGTTTCTTTCAAAATAAAAGTCTAACATAAATTTTCTCATACAAATTATCCATACAAAAAACACCAATCTAGAGCATACAAGCAAACCGCAAATTATCAATACAAATTGTTCAAAATTAAAGATAAACATCTATAAACAACATGATTAATTGAAAGCTTCTTCCTTGTTGACAAGTAAGCTTCTTCACTCTCCACTCCATAATATCAACTTCATTCTACACAATTAGAAAGAACAAATTAGACATGTCTCCACAAACATAAAGAAGATTAGTTGTTTAAGGAAGATATATTGCTTTGAATATTAAATGTACCAAAAAAATAAATTATATTGGTGTGGGCGGGTACCCATGGGGCGGGTATACCGAAACCTAAATCCAACCTAACCCGTGAATAGTGTAGCGGGTTTAAACTCGAACTCGGCCCAAAACAAAACCCGTCAACACGAATTTTACCCGCGTTGATCGGGGTGGGTTCGGGTTTTGTTGTCATCCCTAGTCCCACCCCACTTCAGCCCATCCTGTCACACCAGTGACACCACACAGCGGGCGTCGCCTCACCGCCCACCATTTATGAGTGTACATGGGTCGGGTGGTCCGGGTTTAACCATTTTAATAATGCAACCCATGGACTACGCTTTGGGAAATATTAAACCCAAACCCACCCAAAAAATTAAAACCCTACGATCGGTTTTTGGTACCGGCAAGGTGACAGGCTTTCATGCTGGGCTATGTGAATTCTCTACACGAAACTGAAAATGATAAAGAAAAAAAAGACAGAATGAGATGGCTTTATCCGGTTTGTTTCTAATTGGGTTGGGTCGGGTTGGCGATATTTTTAAGTAAAAACCCAACCCAACTCAAAATTGTAATTATCCTACACCATAGAAATATTTTATAACTAATTAAAATTTCAAATAAATAAACCGAGGTGATAGGTATCAAAATTCACAAATGTTGTTTGAATTTTAATAAAATGTGATTTATTTCAACATATATCTAGTTTTTTTCACGATATTTGTTGAAATAGACTAAAAAGGTTGTAAACGAACGCATCCATAATATGTTATTCTATTAAAATTGTACACAAGAATGCAAATTAGGGGGACCATGAGAGTAAAACATGAACTCATACCGATAGTCTATGTCTAAACTTTAAGTCGAAGAATGCAAATTAGGGGGACCATGAGAGTAAAACATGGCAAATATCTTAATTTTCTCATAAGTATGGCTATAAACGACATAAATATTTTTTGGATATGAACTCATACCGATAGTTGGAACACGCGTTGGGTCGGGTTCTATGGGTTGTATAATCCAAACCCAACCCAAAAGAGGCGGGTTGTACAAAAGAAAACTCTCACCCAACCCAAAACTTTAGTTTTAGCGATAAATACGGGTGGATTGAGTCGGGTTGGACGGGTGGGTCGGTTTGCGGGTGTGTTTGTTCACCCCTTCTCCCATTCCTCTCCTTCCTCTGCCTCATCGACGGCCGACGCCATTAAATCCGCCATCGCCGCCTCTGT